GAGCCCGCATTAATTATTAATACCGTCGACCGAGCGCGGCTCGTATATTTAAGCGCGGCTCTGAAAAATACGACGGACGTTCGCCTTTTTTTTCGTGTATCACGAGCGTCTAGGAAGAGATTTTCAGGGTCGCGTCTCGTAAAAAATGAGGAGGCAATTAATCATAAATAATAATAATAATTCCGCCGCGTTTCGCGAAGGTGATCCGGCAATTTTAAGTCGCGAGTGTCATTTCAATTTCAAATCGCCGCGACGAGCGTGTCGGTGAATTTTCCACGCTTTGTTTCGTAATAACAGCGAATTTTCCGTTTGCCGATCGAATTCACCTTTTGTAGACGAATTTCGAGGATTTGTAATATTGAATTTTCGTATTTGGAACGGTGAGTTGCGAATGAGTGCTTCGAAACAGCGAGAAATCGGTGTAGAATCGTAGAAATCTCTGAAAGAAGCTGTTGATTCTAAGTTTTGACTATTAGTTTCTCGCGGAGCGTTGTTCTCCGCGGAATCTACAGATTTCCTATAGCTTAAGGATCAGGCGAAGGGTTAATTGGATCCTTGAGTAATTATACATTCGTACATTATCGTGATATAAGGTGTTACGCTCGAAAGTCGTAGTATTTATCTAGTACGATTGTTACGCAAGCGGAAACAAAGCGCGGGACGTTGTTTTTCGCACAATATTTGATCCATCTTGGATCGCGAGTGATCCCTGATTAATCACACACTTATCTCGGACGGGTCTGTAAACATTTGTCCAGCGTGGAGAACGTTTCCTCGAATAGACAAGCGTCGGGACGTTCCTCGGGCAAAAAGAGTCGTCGCCGCTCTCGTGAAAAATGTTTGCCGACCGGTTGAAATTTCGTGCGCGGGCCAGCGACCACTCCGCGTATTATCCTTGCTTTCACTTTTTTGCATAAAACTCGTTCGTTTGGGATTAATTTGTTAGTAATTGGGCAACTGCCGAAATTCCTGGCCAAAGTCGCAGCTTCTAGAGCTATCGAACTCCTTATTTCTCTGTTAACTGATATTCTGCAGCCATTTTCGTCGATGAATCCATCGAATTCTCCACGAATTGACTTACAGGCGTTTACTTTACACTTTATTCCATCATTTCTAGAAAACTACGCGTTCGTCTACGGAAACCTCGAAAATTGCAGCTTCAAAACCAAAATCGGCTTACGCTGTTACTTGTAGATAGTGTCTAAACAACTCGATATCCGTCGAATCGACTAGACTCCGTGAATCTAGCGTCAATTTCGACATTTCCCGAGAGAACTGTCCATTCTCCCTTAGCAGATTCATAATTCCATGTTCCTTAGCAAAGCATATTTTCCAAGACACGGGAGATTTCGTTTCGCCGGTTAATCGAGCCAGGAAGGCCCGCTTGCGAAACGGCGCTTAATTGCCGGGCGTAATTTCTCAACCGTTTCCTATTTGGCAATTCGTCGGCTTTCCACTGCCTCCATTTTGTCCGGGCCGTAGGTGACCAATTCATTTCTCCGCTTATGAGTTTTAACGCGGAGGTTGCGAAAGGACGACGGAGAAAGAGGCAGAAGCGGATCCGGCGACGGAAGCGAGACGGAGGTAAATCGGGAGGTCGCTAAATCAAGAGGTAGGCGATGGGGTGGCTGAGAAGTAGGGAGAAGGTCGCAGAAAAATAGAGAGGAACCGAGAGACGATTAACTGTTGTGCAAGGAAGGAGACGGACTTAGATGTACAGAGGGAAAGAGGGAGATGAAAGGAAGAGGGAAAGAAAGAGAGAGAAAGGAGAGATGTCGCGTGCGTGCGCTGTTGCGTTACGTAACAACGGATCTGTGAATTCCAGTTGTCCAGCTGGGAATCGTTGTCGGACGTCGAGTTATTACGTCCGAAAATTGTGCTCATTGCTTGACAGTGGCATGGGTTAGATTTTTGGAAGAAACAATTGGTCACAGAAAGATTAACCCTTTGCACTCGAGAGGTGACTCTCAGTCACCACTTGATTTGATTTGCAAAATTATAAAATCTTATATATAATATTAAGCTTTGCATGATGCATCGATATGTGGAATATTGAAATAAAATAACTATCCCCCTTAATTTATATATGTTTCCTCATTAATTAATTTCAAAGAACATCGTCTGTACCTCGTCGGAGAATATTGAATATTTCTAGTGAAAAACTTTCGAGTGCAAAGGGTTAACCCTTTGCTGACGTCGACATTTTGATGAGATGAAATATTCATATTTGGAATATTAGCAAACGAATGATTTAATTAGTTGTATAGCAAGATAGTGTATAGTTTTCTTTTCTATTGTTTAGGCATTCGATGTATAATTTAGTATCGTACGATGTCTTTTGTACTTTAACACTAGCACTACCGAGCATTTATTACAATTAATATGCAATTCCTATAAAAATTGTAACAATAGGTTATTTTCAGTTCCTTCAGGCATTCATTATAGTACTCAAATGAAACTATTTATTTTTGAAATCATTTCGAATATTCAATGCTTCGGAGTAATATTCATGATTGTTCGATTTTAAAGCTAGGGTTGACTCCAGGAATTATTCTTGGGGTTGTAAT